CGCACACATATTTCATTGTAATGAGAGCCTCGCATTCTAGACTGGCTTCCTTGAAGACGTGAAATAAAAGAATCTCGGCAATTAGACTCCACCTTGAAACGGAGAGCTGACGAATGTCCCCGTCTTTTGATGCAGCACAATGTGTCACAAAACAATAACAATTAAAAAGATATATGAACATTTGAACAGATGTTTCCTTCAGCAAAGGGCAAAACGAACACATGCAATCGCACTTCAGTGGTTACAAACAATTTGTACGACATAAGCAGAAAACTTTTGTCTCTCTGACAAATAACTTAAGAAATTTAAGTTTAAAACTCCTGTGAAAATTACACGACAAAATTATGTTGTCATGTATATACACAGCAAAAAAAAAAAAATTAAATTGTGTGAAATTTTGAAGTCCAACACAAATCAAGATTTAATCATTTTGGTTAAACATTATTTTGAGAAGGTTCAGTAGTGAATTTAAAATTTTACTTTTTTTGTCAGTGGTAAATTTTAAATATTTTGAAATATACGTTTTATTTTATTATTTTTTATCTCTGGTAGATTTTAAAATTGGCGTACATTCTTAATAAAACTAACAATATAATTCACAACAATATTTTCAAAATTTTTGTTTAAAAAATATTTGAAAATTGAAAAAAATACATTTAAACTAAAACAACAAACAAAATAATAAACTATTCAAATATCAACCCAATAAAATGTAATTACTTTATTTTTCAAGTACATTTTGGAACATTGCATCTGTAAAAAAATCAAACAAACCACATTTTGGTTTTACCGTTGATGTTTTTAAAATAATGATTTCAAAATGTTTAGAATTTAAAATGATAAAAGTACAGAAATAAGGTCAGAACATGTCTGCAGCGCAGCACCTATCAGTCACTTTAAGATCTCATCTGTGCAAATGATGGATATTATTAATATCTTTATTATAAGAAAAAAAATAAGATGGTTACACAGTTAACAAATGCTGTACTAAAGAGAGTTTAACCCCTTCTTGTCGTATCCTTCTTTAAATGTGTCCTAATTGCACACAACTGAAATTCTATGGTACAATAGAGACATATTAGGTTGATTCCACAGCTGAGAAATAAATCTTTATTAATTAACTAACTGAGAGACGACTAATATTTTGCATCTGAGATTTTCCCTCTTTTTGGCTCAACTCAAAAAAATCACTGCATATAACTGATAAGTAATGGTTTAATTTTACGGGACTGCAGATGAATACATTCAAAGGAAGTTAATCTACACATATATATATATAAATACATACATATATATATATATATATACTGTATATATAGCTATAAGACCAAGTGGTACAGACTCACTGTCTATGTGCCGTGATCTGTCATACGTGGCAGCACATCTCAACACTTGTCTGTGCTGAGAGCTGTCATGTATGACATTCTCAGATGGAAATGTCTCCTGCAACACTAAATATTTACAACGATGACACAGATGCACAACGTGGGACCTGTGCACACCTCACTGCTGAGGCGCTGAAGGACTCTGAAATGGAACGAGATGCAGGAGATTCACTCACTCTTACTTTAAAAACTAAGATTTATAAAATAAAGTGAGCACATTCCTTTTTGCCACATACACTTGAGAGAGCCGTAATCTTGCTTTTATTAAAATGGGTCAGCATTATACAACCAGGCAGCAGACTGCCAACTTCCTGCAGCTTGTTTATAGTGACATCTCATTGCTTGGATGACAGGGTCCTGCCAGTGTGTGTCTTTATTAGTTTCTTTGCTCTGCTAATGTGCACATGACTGAAGCAGCAGCAGCAGCAGAGGTGACAAACCTTGTCCCTCTTCTGTGCCTCAACTCAACAACAGGCTACTGAGCACTGAAAAAAAAAAAAAAAAAAAAAGTGCTAAACCAGAGCGTGAGTGAACCTTTAAAACACACGGGCCTCATTTCAGTGGATTGTTCAAAGACAAGTAGTCCCCACGTACTGAAGAAAAACATGTCAAAGGCAACAACAGTACGCTGCACATAATTAAAGAGCAGAAAGTTAGATTTCGAGTTCATTAAGTAGTTTTTGGGACAAACTTGATTTTTTTAAGAGAATCCGAGGCTTCATTGTCAAAGAATGTCTAATTTTTAGCAGATTTGCATCATTTAAAAAAACAAATAATAAAGTGACCTATAATACACACACACACAGACACACACACAAAATGTGTTTATTACCTTTAAATCTTTGCCTCATTTATTCCAAAAATAATGTTTCCTCCAGGGGAGCACCAGGAGGTGCTGTATAGCTGTTAGCTTTTAGCACAGCACCATAAAAAACAAACATGGCTGATGAGAGGGGCAGGGCTGACACTAACACACACCAGTTTGGAGAGTTTATGCAACGTTAATGTTTGAGGTTGAGCTTTGCAAGCCCAGAGCATTAATATGAGATAGCCAGGCCCTCCTACCTGCAGCTCAGTGAGGAGATGCACCCTGCTATGACATCAGCTGAAAGCATTTAGCAAAGCTAAGCAAAAACAAAATAACATAATAGAGCCAATGTGGAGCTCTGCAGGCTCCAGAGTTTACTGCGGTGCAGAGTTTAAGGCATCACATTGTTTTTAAATTAAAGCTGGTTATTATTTTTATATGAGTTAAAGCCTTCAGGGTTATCCCGTAACTATGGACAGGTGGACACGGCGCTAAGAATGAGTAACAGCTCAGTGGGACATGAGTGTTGTTCACAGAAACAGCAGAAAATGAAGGGAGCATTTTACAAAAGAACTCTAGATCGATTCCAACAACTGAGACTATCAAGATATATATTTTTTAAATGAAACAAACTACAGAAGGACCACGGCTATATAAAGCTAGAGACATCATTTTTTAAAATCAGTGTTTCTAAAATGGAGGGTGGTGGGATGAAAGTGGGTCGTAGATTTAAATTAGATAGGTCACAAGAATATGTAATTGGTACGAGTGTTGTTATTGGTCACCTCTTATTTTTATATTTTTATTTTATTTCAGCATATACTGTATAATTTACTAAGAATCAGGCTGAATGACTGGCAAACTGTTTACATCCACCACGGCAGCATGGTCAAGGACAATTAAAGGTAAATGACGAAGAATTAAAAAGATGAGAAGAAGTAAAGTTGTTGTCGGCAGGGAGTGAACGCTAGCCTTTAGTTTTAGAAGTACAGCCTGAACTTGATGAATCATCACAATGGCCTACATTTGAAATAATGTCGAACTTTTACACACTGCACCTTGACGTCTAATTCTGGCTCATTATCGATAAAAAAAATAGTATTTGTGTAATGATTTTTGTTATTGAGGACGGAATGAAGTGACAATAACAGAACAAGGCTGTTCCATTGAATCTAAGATTAGTTATTAATTAGTTATTAAGTGCTAAACGAGAAGATAACATGACGGCTGAAAGTGCTAAACGAGAAGATAACATGACGCGACCTGGTCCTCCTTCGTCCTCAGCTGAAGTGTTAAACCTCACCCTGACTTTGTGACGCCGAGGCCTGTGAGTCACAACTGCGAAGATACTGTATAATGTTATTTAAACCCAATCTGTCACCAAATGTGCAGAAAAAGCCTGCCAAGTGCACAACTCTATTATCACCATGAAGAAGAAACTTCACACACGCACATACGTGTTTCCATCGTTGAACAGGAGAAGGACTTTTTCACCGACCATCTGACCGTTTCTATTTTTAAAACGTAAACCTTCACGTAACCTTAACTTAATCAATTGATAATATTTACAAACACTGTAAAAACAATTTAATCACAGAACGTTTCAGTTTTGTTTGTGTAAAAAAATATATATACAGTATATACATATATATATTAGTTAAAAATATCTACTCTAGCTACTCTTATCTGTTAAATATTGTTTAAAAGGACTTAAATAAAATAAAAAAATAAAAATAAAGGCTTTTATTTTTTAGAATGCCAACTTTTCGGCAGTTGGACATAAACCCGAGTACGATTTTTATCTTTGAATGGTGATATTTTCATATTTTCTTATATTTCATATCATGAAGAACAAATTTCAGTCTTAAAGAAAACACACACACATAGATGTGCACACTCATGTACAAATGGTACTGTCCACAAACACCACACACTCACAGACACACATAGAAACACACACCTCCAGCTCTGCGTCATTACACTTGCAAAGTCGCCAATTAATAAAAAAAACTGAAATCCTTGAGTTGTCGTTAACACGATGCCTCTGAAAGGTCAGGTGATGAATCAAGGAGTAAGTGACAGAAGTATAAACACTGTTGCACTGCTCTTAATGTAACACAACAATGTGAAATAATTAGCTGCCATCATAACTGCCAGGTTAATTCAGATGTGAGGAAATGTTTCCGTGATAACATGGAATTTTCAATAACAATCTCGAAGCCAAACAACACGGCAGCTCTCTTGGGTCTGAGCTGTTGCCGCCGCGCGTGACCCATTTTGCCTTTTCTTCAAACCAGAAATGTTGCTAATTTTGACAGCTCAATTTGCGAGCAGCGCAATCCTTAACAAGTCTGCCACCCTCTGCAGCAATATTGAAAAATGGTGACAGACAGACTAATGCAAGTGGCAAGTTAGTGCCCTGACCGGGTGCTGCTGGTGGCCACTGAGAATTCACAATGCCACATGCTCACGATAAATGGAGTTGTTAATGATGTTGCCCTGTAGGGGTCATAATGGTGAAGATAGCCTCGCAAATATTCTCTAAACACCCGCTGAAGCAAGAGAGGCGATTAACACACTCGGAAAAAGTTACATGCAAGAACATGGAAGTTTTGGGAGTGAGTTAGCATCAAAGACAAGCCTGTCTTGTTACTCACTTCCTGTAAGTACACCAGATGGATTGTTGTGGTCCTAACTAAGTTCACCTAAACCCACCATCTTACAGCTAACAAAATACACATATTCACAGTTCATAATATATTATACACACATGGAGGTTAATGTATAAATGAACCAAACAAGCCTACCTTCTTAGCTGCACAAACACAGGATGGCACTGGTGGAAAAAGAACAAAAAAAAAAAAACTGAGCTACAGAACTAGGCCAGAGAAATAACTCCTGACAGGAAGTAGCTTTAGCTTTAGCGTTAGCGTTAGCGTTAGCGTTAGCTTTAGCTTTAGCTTTATCTTAGCCAGGAAATGCAAACTGTCTCAGCATGATGAAGAGAGGTGGCACATCACCTAAATCCATCATAGGAAACATGGGTCATAAATAGGTTCCCACCTGAAGTGGCAGAGACAAAATAAGACAGAAACTTCACAGATCTCTAAACTGTGTGTAACTATATTTAAAACATTTATTATTTTTGTTTTTGTCAGGTAAAAAGCCTTTTATGCTCTTTTCATAGGAACATTTTTATTCACAAAGTGTGGGACATTATTGTAAAATGGTGTAAGTGTAAGGTAAAAAAAAATTGTAGACTAATGTGATAAGAATATAATATTAAAACTCAGATTTCTTTATTTGGTCAAGTCTTTATTTAAGTGTATCACAAGAATTCTTTTTGCTTCAATTAAATATTATTAAAGTAAATTATAAAAGTGTTTTTTGTCCATAAAATGTAATTAAATCATCTTTTAGAGAAAAAAAAAACCCTGCTCTGCTGATGTGTCTTTGTCCTAATGAAGGTTAAAGAACTCCTTTGAATTTTTATGTGAGTTCTTTTTTTCTTTTTTTTTTAATCAGCAGCTTACACTCATTGCATAGAATATACTGAGCTAAGTACATCCTGGGTATTTCATCTGTGCAGATGAATTCAAACTGCCGAGCCGAGCTGTATTTGTAACCTGAGGCCACATTAGGTTCCAAATTAGCTGCTGAGTTTGAAGAAATAATAATATTATTATTAAAGAATACTGTACATATAGGCAAAAGGATATAGGCTGAAAATGCAGGGTGTGACGATGGGCTGCTCCATGTTGACATCTGCTGATTACACAGTTTGGAGTCCTGCTATAGAAGTGGATGTGCAGTAAAAATGTGTCGTACGACGGAGACCACACTATGATCTCTGAAAGAACACAGTGGTCAGGCCTTCACAGAATTTTATTTAGAGCATGAAACCACAACAATGAGGAGAGGAATGTCATTTTCACACAGCCAGAAAATCAGGGCTGCCCACGGTGGAAGGATAATATTCAGACCTCAAAATCTACTTGAGGCATTTTCTTATTTTATTCACTCTTACTTTAGACCTTACATTTCTAAAAATAAAATCTGAAGTTTTGTGATTCATTTAAACTTGGAATTTCAGAGCAAAAAGACAAACGACTCACATCTCCAGAGACAGATGTGATAATTCTGTTAAACATGAACTAATATGGAGATTCATTCCTACAAAATACAGGTAGGACTGCAGTGTTTTTTGGAAAAAGATAAAAAGTTAACGGCCAAGGAAGGAAACCGCTGCTGAATGTGTGACCTTCAAGACCTTTGGAAGTTAACGTTTAAACACATTTTTAAACGTTCTAACTTCACTGGAAATTAGTTTTAAAAAGGTCACATTGACATTTGTTAATTTTTGACTGTGATGTATTCAATTTTTAGTTGGGCTCTGTCATACAATCCTGTTCTGTGACGGCCTGTCTAATGAAGTCCTGGCGTCTGTATTGGCAGTCGTGCCTGTAGACATGGTTACCTACATGCATCCCTGCAGTACGTGTCAGCTCTCTGTGAGGCAGGTTGAGACAGAGACGTGCTTCAGGTGGCCCATGTGCTGCCACGCGGCCCCCCGGGGAGACACTCCATGGTGCCGTGCTGCAGATATCTTCCCAGATATGGCAGCAGCCCCGGCCCTGAGAGCCACAACATGGACAGCCTTCCACCTAAAAGGGCCAGATCACTCCACACAGATAACGCCCACACCCTTCTGCTGCACTCGTTTTAGATCCACCGTTGAATCAGCACTGAAACCGTCACCTATGCCTGTGGTTCTGTTCATTAGCCACTGAATGTTGGCACGTGTCTTTGAGACGTATTTCAGGCCAGTGAAAGGAAACAGAAAGTGATGTTAAATGTAATGTAGTGGTTGGACAGGTGCAGTACTTGAAGATAAAATTGATGCTTATTTATGCAGAAATATTCACATTCACTAATAATTAAGGGGGAAAAATTGGGAAAGGCTGCAGATGATTTGTAAATGAGATTTTGGTTTTTGTTTGGTCTGTGACTCTGAAACTGCATCAGACAACACTGTCTTTTGAGGCTCGGTAAAAATGTTTTTCTGCCCAGATACGCCAGCGCCACAACTTAAAAACACAGGGAAAATAGTATCTGAGTATCTGAGTGTTCTTGGTATCAAGTATCAGCTAATACAAATAACCAATACTGTAATTTAAAGCATAGAATTGATATAAAGTAAAATCTAATATTTTACTTTATATCAAATATATACTGAGCCAAATACAACCTTCACCAAACTCAAAAAAGTATACATGTCAGATTATTACAATAATTACATATTATTACATGGGCAATTATAAAGACACAGATGTGGACTGCAGGCAGATCAGCCAATCAGACTCAGCACAAGGCTCGATGCTGGTCCTTGGGAAAGCCGTTGTCATGACAGGAGCGTTTTTGTCAGATGTACTGATGTACAGCTGAACCACTGCAGATTCTGGCTTGGGCTCATTTTGTTGTCCATTTTTTTTTTCTGCCCTAAAATGTTGAAAACCTGAACACACATGACCACAGATTAGCTCAAACTGAGCCAGTTTTTCCCCCAAACCAATATTACAGAATTGCCCAATTTAAGCACATGGCTGAGTTACAGATCATTTCAAAAACAACTCCATGCTGAGACAACAGCTTTAAATTGGGATTATTTTTCTTCAGGACATCTGAGGGCATCTGGTTCTACCTCGGTCCACATGTGTCTCTCTGATCAGGTTTAGTCAATGGATCCTGCCTGTGTTTTCTCTCAGACGACCCTCTCTTCATGACCTCTCACCCACACTTTCTCTTGTTCTTTGTTGTGCAGGTCAGAGTCCATGTGCTCGTGCCCACACAGCCGCATGGCCACATTTTGGTATTCAGGAACACAGACACAGGTAAGACCGGTTCAGGTGCACCCCACAGTGATCTTAACCCACTCGGGTTCACCATCCAGCACTCAGGTCAGCCCTGGTGCTCAGCAGGCTCCCGGCTCAGGTCACAGAGGGCTCCGACATCCCAGAGATGAGACCCCAGACTGGCATGAAGACGAGTGTTTGATGTGGTCCTGAGCTGCGCTGCGTTACTATGTTACCGTGCCTTTAATTAGCTGCAGCTGCTTCTACCTTATTTTTGACAGGGCCAGACGATCTCCACTGTCTCTGTAATCTCTCACAGGTGACTGTCCGATACACAGCAGCTCACTGTACCACCACAGGCCGGGCTTTTTCACTCCAACCTCGGGTGCAGTTTACAAAAGAGTGGGGTTTTTTTCTTCTGTTTTTTTTTTTTTTTTTACCAAGTTAATTAACCATGAAGAGATCACAGTAAAGATGCGAATGAATAAAAGTGCTCACAGTGCTGTAATGACCACAGCATGTTTCCAAATATGTTATGCTAATATGTAACTAAGCACCATTCCCCTGCTTGTAGTTCTGGCTGTTTTTCCTCAGGATGCAATCGCGATAAAGAGGCGGCAAAGTTCTCCTGATGATGCTAAACGTGCCACTCTGCATACTTTATCAGCTAGCACAAAAGCAGCCTAACCTCTGGAAACTGTCCTCGGAGGACTGATGGCAAGAAATTGATCTCAGATTAGATGAGTGCACCTTGTTCCCTTCCAATTTTGCCACTCCCAAGTTCTGGATCTTTCCTTAAAACTTCACCAAAGATAAAAATGGGGATCCTCTGCAGCTAGCTACGGCATACTAATACCCTGAACTCATTAAATTAATGGGGCCAGATTCCGCTCACTGAACGTGCACTGATGCCCTTTGAGTTTTCCAGGGCTGGAGGGTATGCAGCACTTTGAAAACCCTGACCGGCATATTGAGCGTGTTTTAATAGAACCCTTTTGAGACTCCTGGTAGGATGCAGAGTAACTCTTCCCCTTTAAGTTTCCGCACTTCTCTGTGTGATCTCGTCAGATAGCCACCCTATCCTTGGATTCAGGCCTTGGTGGGGGGAGGGAGGAACCATGCACGATAAATGAGGCCAGAGGTGTCCATATCTCAGCAGAGGCCATTCTTTCCTAAAGATGTGGTACTTTGAGACGTGGTGCTGAGCCAGCTTTGATGTCAGAAGGTGCTGTGCAGAAGACTCTGAAACAGAGGCAGATATTCAGGGGGATTCCCCTCAGGTCTGGTCATTCCTCCAGACGCACAGCCACACGGTTGATTTAATAAATATACTCCTTAAAACGGGTTGAGTCCCAGTATAAAAATCACTGCCAATTTAAAGTGAAGTGAAGACACATCTGTCCCATAATGTAGGCAGGCCGCAGGAACGTGCAGGATCCAACGAGGAGATTTTCATCGCCAAAGGTAGCAGAAGATGTGAAAGAGTAAAAGACAGGGATATTGTTTTAATGGCACTTTATTAGAATAGGTAGATCTTAAAGTAATGGAAAAAACAGAATATTAAAAGATGAATTTTGCATATGTGCCCAAGAGCAAAAAGATGAACTGATAAGAAAAGAAAGCAGCCAAGCTCACATTTGCATGACAAAAAGTCCCTTTAGTGTTCTAAACATCACTCTCATGGTTCTCACAAGCTCAAGAAGCAGATGTTGAGATAATGGGAAAATGTATCTCAATAAAATTAGGATTTTAACCTGAGTATTTTCATACTGAAACCCCAATATTTAATCTAACTGATGGACCGAACTGATGTAGTGAAATTATGATTAGCAGCTGAAGGAGGTCCAAACACCACTCTCAGAAAAAACGGCACATGTGGCACACTAGAACCATTTTTAACATCCTTACTAAATAGTACTTCACATATACAGTACAGTACACACACTCCCTTTGATAAGGCTACTATTGCATCACAGTCCTATCACATATGCCGGCTCTTTAAGCATCTTACGACTTGTATTTTTTTTAAAACATTTTCACATAAGGGTGAATTTTAGACTGTATTTTAGACCAACTGAGATGAGCTCCAGCACAAAGAACACACTTTCACCTTTAGATGCTACAATCTCAGGAAACATTGGTTGATACATCAAAATACTGCGAATACGTTAGCGCTCAAAGCTAATGCCGATTCTGTAGCAGTCACTGAAATAAAAAAATTCAGCTTTTCTTTCTAGAAGAACGTTAGAATGAAAATTTAAGAAGCGTCTC